TTAGACGAAGGCCTGATGTTACCGAACATTATTTCCCTGAAGATGTTTCGTGATTTTGATCCTCCGTCACTGTCCAAATTCGCCTTCTTTTAGACCAGCTTACGTCGCAGGCTTCAGATAATCAGCTCTCATAGCATCTTGGTTCAGAGGGTAGGCGGCATGGAATTTTATGCCGCCTTTCATCTGACGGTTTCGCAAAATTTATTATGCCTGATGAACGCTGTTTAATCGTTAATGCGATGTTAGATGCCATTAAAATGCCAGCTTTAGATGTTATTGTAAGATTCTGTCATGCAACTCTTTCGTCCTCCTGCCGATCCGCAACTGAGCCTTGCGATGCTGGTTTTTCAAGCGTTATAAGACAAAAAGTCACCGTTCTTCGTTGCGACTGTCCCCCCTTTAACCGATTGCTTCGCAAGTGATGACATTCGTTTATCGCTCCCGTAGTGACTCACAAGACCGCCGAAGTCTAGTCTCGTTCTCTCTGCGTGATCCACGTTTGTTCAGTGTCTACCCCCGTAAAATTCCAAAAGTAAGGAGTGGATTTTGGACGCACCATGCGTTCGTTAACAGCCTGATAAAGGCTAACGGAAATGCTGAACGGCAGACGGTGTGTGCTAAAATTTTCCATTGTGTAAAAGTGATGCCTCGCCAGTCTCTTAGCTGAAGATCATATTTCGACCGTCATAAGACATGACAGCCACCATTGCCAGTTCAGAGGGAAGAACTAAACAAAATAATTCGAAACTGGATAAGGTAATGGCAAGGATAAAGGGAAGGGGACGAACAACAAAAGGGGAATAAAATGGAAATGGAAAAGAGAAGACGAGGAATCAATAAAAGAAGTGGAAGAAGAGGAACAAATTAAGAATGCATAGACTAATATGAAGAAGGAGAAAGAGAAGCACACAAGAGACGAAAAGGAGCCAAGGAAGGAGGACGAAGAAGAAACATGATAAGAGCAAAAAGAAGAAAAAAGGACGATGAAATGGAAGAAATCGTAAAAGATGAAAAAGACGAGAGGAAAGAGTCCACATAAACATGAATAAAAGGGAGATGAAAGTTAGGAAAAAGAGAATGACGAAGCGACAAAATGAACAGAAAAAAAGAAAGTAAAATGATGAAGTAGGATTGTAGGAAACAGAAGAAGATCATGAAGAAGCAGAAGAATGAGAAATAGAATAAGAAAATGAGGAATGAGTTGATGCAGTAGAGAAATAAAAAAGTAGAAAGTGAGAAGGTGATGACTATGATTATGCAGGAAGTAAAAGTGATGAAAAAAGAAGTAGAAAAGTTGATGCAGAAGAGGATAATGAAGAGGAAGAAAAAAAAGTAATGGAAGGAAGAGGAACAAGAAAACTAGAGAAATAAGACGGTAAGAAAAATAAAATTAAAAAAAATGAGGTGAGGCGTATTTGTTCTTGAAGCGGTCGTGTTATTGGCACCACAGAATATTTCCATTTTCCAGGACAACCAAACAAACAGAAATCAAATGATTAAAAAATGGATCCTTATTACCATCAACCTCATGAGCTTCGTGATTTGAAACCGAATGCAGTAAATCGAATCGGTTCTTTGAGTTCTTGAACGGTTTTGGAGAGCGACTGATGATGCAACTTCGGCAAGCTTCGAGTACCGTTCTTGTTACCGTTGTGAGAAGAACCGACGTCCGATAATTTTGGGTGTGGCGCATGATTAATGTCCGTGTTGCAACAACGACCGGCCAGTCATATAGCTGCGTCGACATATTGTTAATTATGAATCATTATAGACATAATTAATCTTGGTATTATGTCCTTGACCCTGATATCCCGGATGGCGATGACATCAACGACAACAACAACAACAACAACATGGCGGCGTTGATTATTGCCCTTATGATCTGGTGTTGATTAAGCTCGAATTTGCAGATGTTCACCCTCTGTACAGCTCAAGGGATTAACTTCATTTTTACATTTTGATCCAATTCCTCAAGCACCACTCTAATCGTCGTTCGACTTGCGCATGAGCTGTCGTCTGGTGTTCAGAGGTGATGAAAAAAGATTTTCTCATTCTTTTTCGAAACTTAGGTTAGCACTGCCTCTCCCCCTCCCATTTAGGCGCCTAATTGCATTGTGCTTCTTATAAACAAATCCGCCATGAATTATGTGTCGAGGTTTGTCAAGTTGGCCGGGAAAAACTCGTTGACCGACAATCTGGGAGTTGGTGTCAGCCGTTATACACTACTGTGCGCATGTGTTTCGCCGTCGTCCAAACTTCTACACGTTTCATCGCTCCGTTCTGTCGCTTTGACGGCGACGAGACGATCAGGCGATCTTAGAGTACACAGTTTCACTTCACTCCTTTGAAATTAATTACGATTTAATTGTATCTTACTGTAGTTGTTTCATGTTTGCGAATGCCTGAACATCAGCATCGTTGAACCGCGCTGTTCTGTTGACGCTGATTATAATCGCCTTTCACCGTCGCTTTAAGGCTTTAAAGGCTGAACAGAGCTCAAACGGCAAAGTTGTTCACATTAATCATGTCTGACCTGGTTAAGGCGGCGTCTCAGATTTCTGATAGCGACTGTATTGCAAGACGCAGCGATGAAGGTCACGTTCCTTGTCCAGAGCTTCTCAAATCCCACTAGAATGTTGATTGGTCGCTACTTAAGGCTAATCAGAGCTTGAACGGCAGACTCGTTCCGAATAATGATGTCTGAAATGATAGAAACGTGACCGGCTCTGATTTATGTCAGCCATTTTCTGTCTTTTTATTATCCCCCGATATGTCTGTGACCGTGCGATGGACGATCCTTATGATACCTTAGAGTGATACCTTAGAGTGATTACGGTAGTCCTTGCCCATAGACCGTTCGGTTCATGCACGACAGGTTGTTCGCGGCGCGGTCCCGGTCTGACTCTGATTTGGGTCTGGCTGTCGTCTACTCCGTCTTGCAGGTTTTTCTCACGCCGCGGCTGAAGAAGCAGCTTTGCCTTAGGTTCCAAAATCTCAGGTGCTCTAATTTTGTACTAAAGGCGATTCGCAAACGCAGTACGGTGCGACTGCGGTTTATTTTGAACACAGTCGTGAGTTTCAAGCTTCAAGTCTCATACCGGCCACCACCGAATCTGTCCGACTCGTTCGACAGACACGCTTTAAGGAACGGAGGTTCATAAGGTGCCTGAGTCCGGCAGGATTGTGGTACGAAAAAGCTACTTGCTGAGTTCGCAAGATACAGAGACGTCTGAGCGGTCCACCTGTGAGGAAAAAAACAACTGAAAAAAAAACACGGCCATACATCAGCCGCAGAACGGGCAAGAAAAACACGCACAAATGCGATTGCTGATTGTGTGAAACAAATTCCATAGCTCATTAGCA